ATTTGAAACCCATGCTGATAGCCCAACAGCAGTAATAATCTAATTAAACGCAAAGATACTTTTGATTCAAGTATGCGAATTTAGCACAGATAACTTCCTCTGATTCCGACTTTTGGGATTTCTTTGGTTTCTGATTCAACATGCTGGAGAGAGCGTTTCCAATATTCGTTAATCCAGAGGGCGAAGACGAAGGCACCATCACCGATTTCCGTCCTTCATGTTGAATTTTGACTGGGATCTTTGATTGTTTTAACATAAACTTTGGAGGCGTTGCGTGACCAAATAAGAGAATTCAATCAATCAAAAACTTTGGTCAAATGGTAATAACAAACAAATATTTAATTATCGCTGTCTTTCGTTCTTGCTGACGTGATCCCACTCGGCTTGGTAGTCATGCTGAGGAGATCTTTCATATTGCTGCCAAATTCAAGCAAATCAGCAATCATATATCCGTAGCAGAGGTGCGAGAAGTAGTACAAGTATTCCGCGCTGTTGGTAGCCATAATGTAAATCGAATCTACCAAATAGATGTTTAGCAACACTACTTCCACTCCACTGCAGATAATTAGGTACTTTGAGGTTTCTGTTGCTGTTGGGCTTTTCCACTGTATTTTACTAACCAAGCTTTTAAAGAACCAGACTTCAATCACCAATTCCCCGATGAGAATAATACATGTAGGGAGGTTGATGAAGTAAATCTGAATGAGGTTGTTCAAATCATTCGAAATATAGCCCTTGTTTTGAATGTATGCAAAGGAAAATACAAACACCCGTGCAAGTTTCAATCCAAACGCCAAACTAAGCACCCAAAAATCCACCGAATATAGCTTCTAATAAATTGGATCGCTGATTGGGCACGGTATAGAATTTCGTATAGAAGCCACCATTGATGGATTACATCCAAGACAGTAAAGATATCATACGCGGAAATCACATTTGTGGTGCCTTGAATAGATTTAACGGCTTTGCCTAAATCATAAAAGATCCCAGCCAAAGCTTTAAGCATTGTAAATAGCGCCAATGCTAAAATTCGGCAGTGATAAATTTTGTATGTTTTTGATATTTTGACAGTGTTTGGAGTAGCCACTACCTTTTTTATGAAAGGCCGGAAGACGATCGCGATAGTCATTCCCAAAACAGTGGCAGTCTCGCTTATGCTTTCGAGCTGATCGTAATTTAATGCGGCAGTGGTCATTGATATCGCGAAAAGTGTAGACAAAAACGTTGCAATTCGTAAGTATGACGTGTCAAAAGGAAAAATACAAAGGGGTAACTTTTCTACAAGCGTTTTATTTTAATTGATGTTTGCGTACTTTTATTCACTAACCACGTCTGTGGCTTTGATAGATTGCACGTCTTTGGTGCTTTCCCCTTTCTTTAAAAGATCTTTTAGGTTGCCTCCAAACTCTAGCAAATCTGCAATCATATATCCGTAACACAGGTGAGAAAAATAAGACAGATACTCTGGGTTGCTGGTAGCCATTACGTAAAAAGAGTCAACCAAGTAAACCAGCAAAAGAATAAATTCGCATCCAGCACACGTTAACAAGTACTTTGTCGCTTCTGTAGTTGATGGACCTGTCCATTTCACACGATTAATCAAGCAATAAAAAAACCAACCTTCCAAAATCAATTCTGATACAATAATAATGCAGGTTGGCAAGTTTATAAAGTAAGTTTGTATCAGCTGATTTGTACCAATAGAAACTGCCCCAGAGTTTGCTAAATAAGCAGTTGTATAAGCAAACATGCGGGCGAATTTTAAAATGAACGTTAGTGAAAGAGGAACAAATATCCACCAGAAATATTTCTTTATAGGCGGTATCATTGATTGCGCTCTATACAAGATTTCATACAAGACCCACCACTGCTGAGCGATATCCATAAAAACAAAGATATTATACGAGGATAGTGTACCAACCGTTCCTTGAATTAATTTCATACTTTTTGATAGGACATAAATAATTCCAGCAAAAGCTTTTAGAACAGTGAACGCAGCCAAGACCAATATCCTCCAATGATACGTTATGGTGATTTTACTACTTTTGCTTATAGCATTATAAGAAACCATTTTCTTTATGAATGGACGAAATATAATTGCCATCGTCATTCCTAAGACCATCGCTGATTCGCTTGTATTCTCTAGCTGGTCATAATTGAAGGAAACTGTGGACATTAAGCAAGAAGGAAAGAAAGTCTGAAATGTCACCCAAAGTAAATGAGGTGACGTGATCAATATTTTAAAGCGGATACATATTTAAAATGGCACTTTTGCAAAGATTCAAACTCAAAGTTGAAGGGTACAGCAATATGTTTATCGCTGTGCTATCAAAGTCTAGTTTTGTCTTCATCAATAGTAACGTCCTACCAACACTCTAAAAATCATGTAATTGCCCATATTTATTTCGCTAAATTTTTGAAATATCTCTTCCAAAAACAAATGTTTTAGTCCAATCCCAAGCTAGCAAAACCCTTGTTCTCAACGATACTTGACGGGAAAGATACGCGCTTCTCCATAAAAAGAACGCACTGAACCCACCAAATCCCTTCCCTTTTCCTAAATCCAAGACTGCAGCTTCTACTATTAATAATATCAACCTCCTCCTACGTAAGAGAAATTGCCTAAATGATTGTATCTGAAATTTTTGAATCTTTCTTCGACATTTTCCCAATCCTTAGAATCATACTTTCCAAGTTTATTTAATTTCTTTGCTAAATAATAGCCTTGTTGGGATGCAACTTGTGCAGTTGCTGGTAAAGTGGTTGTTTTTGCTGCAGTTTTTTCAAACCAAGTTTTCAATTCTTGCAGCTTTATTGGTGAATCTCCAAATCCTTCAATGTATTCCTTTAATCCACTCAAGAATGAATGAGATTGTGGGTGCTTTTCTGTGACTTGATTGATTATTGAATTTAACTCTTCAACATGCATATCCTCATGGCATTGAGACAATATCAAATCACCAATATTTGGTAAAACTATTGTAGCGCAATCCCCTAATGCGTAGGCGTCTTTAGCCCCAATTAATCTTAAACCAGAATCAACATTTAACGCTCTTCTGTGCGTTTGATCGGTCAACTTGCTGGATAACTTTTGGGTTGTCTCATGCATTGCAATTCCAGTGCTCCAAACGCATAGTCCATAATCTGTAACGTTAGTTTCCATTGATCCATCTGGTTTCTTTACTTTGTAGGTGATGGATTTTTGGTCGACAGATTGTACAAACGCCTGGGTGATTACCTTTATGTTTTGTCGTTTGAATCGTTCTTCAGCATACTCGGATATTTTTTCATCAAAAGTGTTCAATATATGTGCCGAGCCTTGAATCAGAATAACTTTGACGTGTCTCTTGACTAAATCTGGAAAGTAGTAAATCATATCTCTATTGAGATAATCGTACAATTCTAAATTAACAATGATTACCAGCAGAAAATTCCTAACGTCAATATTGGATTACCACACCCGTTGGGCCTCCTCCGACTACAACAAATGTCAGCAGTCTCTGCCTTTCCTCCTCACTGATAATTGGATTGCTTGCCTTTTCAAAAATCGTGGTCAGTTTATCACGGATATTGCGGGCGTCCTTGATTGTCTTGCAAAAGTGTACATTCTCCTTTACGCCTGGAATCCCATAAGTTTCATTTCGTGCACCTAATGCAATCACGAGTTTGTCATATGGAATCTCTACTTGATTGTTGTCTGTATCAATGGCTAAAACTGTCTTTTTATCAAAGTCTACATCATCTGCGGATGCAGCAAAGTAATGAGCTCCAGAATGTCGGCATATTTTTCGGGTGTTTTCCAACAGTGATCGATACTCGACAGTTCCCTAACATCAAATTACTAGTACGGTAGTGGCCTATATTAGCAACACAAACCCCTGGTAATAACGGAGTAAACAAGAAATAATTTGTTGGTGATACGACTATGGTTTCGTACTGGTTCTTTTTTAAATTCTTCAAGATTGTAGTTGATGCCCATCCTGTTCCCAGAATTAGTAGCCTCGGCTTCTTTTTTGTTTCCCAAGAGGACCAAGGGAATTGGTTTACCACTGGTACAGTCGAATAGCGAATACGAGATATCGATTTTTGCATCGAAAAAGGGTGAGTCAATTTCACGCGAAATAGATTCCACCCAATTGGAAACATAAAGCAACTTTTTGAAACAGTGCTTATTTTTGATTGATTCTATTAAAATGGCTGGTGTTTGACATTTGATTTCTAAAAGTTCAACTAGATTCGAATGTGAAATAAATGCAATTCATGTTTATAAATTCAGCGATCTGAAACTTTTCAGTTCTCCCGTGGCTAAGTGGTTTAAGGCGTCGTACTTATATTTAAAGATATGCGAATATCGCGGGTTCGAACCCCGCCGGGAGAATGCTTTTTTTCTTTTTTTGCAAAGCAAGAATTGTTTTAATAGAATCTATTGTGAGAATTCTTGAATGCATTGTATTAAGCAATATGCTTTTGTGGGTTGGTACTAATATCTAACTCAGATAATACAACTCTGGACATTTTGAATCTTTTCATTAAACTGCATTGAATATCTGTCTTAAAGAATATCTTCAACTTTTTCATAGTATTGACAAGAAAAATTTAATATTGTGTTTGTTCATGTTCGTAACAACTCAATTACAATAACTATTGTTGGATAACCTTTTGCAAGATTGTAGCATTTAGGGAAGATGGATAAATTAAATTGTATACATAAAATACCATGATAAATTCAACACGGTAATATTCAAAAAACAAAATTCAGCTTGGTATATTGTTATATTTCTAGTAAAATTGTGTTCCAAGCTCCTTTGGCTCAGTTGGTAGAGCGTAGGTCTCATAATCCTAAGGTCGTGAGTTCGAGTCTCACAGGGAGCACTTTTTTTACTGTTGGATGGTAAAATGCAAATTGGATTTGAGAGCAGTTTTAGAAATATACCATAGATTATTCCATGAATATGCGGTAATCAATTCAGAGCCAGCACTTTGAAATGATACGTCCTAGTTTTTTTGAATTTCTTGTTAGAGGCAACCAAAATACATCAAAAACAAAAAGTAATTAAATTTATCCAATAGTTTAATTGAAAGCCTAGTTGTGCATTAAATTTGGATACGAGATGAGGGTCATATTTCCAATATTGTATTAGATTAAGATCAGCATCAGAAATACCATAGTAAAAAGATATATACTAGATAGATTTAATCGCATCAAACTTAATAAACGGTGTTTTTACATCGAGCTTTTGTTTTGAAGTTGTTGATCAAGCATTTAGTCAACAACAAAAAACGAGTTTCTGACAAGTTTCTATGTTAAATTATCTATCGCTTCCAAAAAACAGAAACAAGCTCCTTTGGCTCAGTTGGTAGAGCGTAGGTCTCATAATCCTAAGGTCGTGAGTTCGAGTCTCACAGGGAGCACTTTTTTGCCTTTTTACACACCGATTTGAGTCTCCAGACACATCATGAAGTAATGTCTAATTTGTCGAATTATATCTGTTCCTTGCGCCATTTAAAAATATCTACACGTGTCTATTATTTTGTAAAATTCAAAGCCATTTTATTCAATCATTCATTTCCCAACATGAATGAAGCAGTATCGTCTAACCCGATTTGCAAATTTAAGAATGCTATTCTTTAATACGTAGTGTTGAGCTATTTTTCATGAGCCGTCTGGAGCAATTGAACAACTTTGGTAAACTTTTTCTTTTGCGCATGTCTAATTGCATAATTATTGTTGGCATTTGGATTACATCTACCGTCTTTCAACAGTAATTCCACAATTTCAAAGTGCCCATTTTCACTGGCAATCCTAATCCCATAATTTGAATTGCAACCGGGGTTAATTCTATTATCCTTCAAGAAAAGCGAAACTACATTTGCATGTCCAGCCTTACACGCTAATCTGAATGGTTCATTTGTATTCACTGTTGGATTTACCAGTTTCTGTTGCAACAATAGTTCGACAACACTAGAATACCCATTATGACTGGCTTTCTTTATGGCATAGTTATCCATATCACCTGGATCTACTCTATCATCTTTTAGCAGAATTTTGGCAGTTTCTAGATGGCCATATTCACACGCGAACCGAATAGGTTCGTTGTGCATTACCCGAGGATCACATAGTGGAAGCAATAGCTCTACAATATCAGCATGGCCATATTCTGCTGCCTTTCTCAATCCCTCATGCTTCAATACTGTTGGATTAACACGATCATCCTGCAATAACAGTTTCACAATTTGCAAATGCCCTTGGTGACAAGCTTGACGAAAAGCGTCGTTTCGAAAACACGATGGGTCTACATTATGATCGAGCAGATACTTTACCATTTCCAAATGGCCAAAGTAACAAGCTCTTCTAATCGCCACATTGCTATTCAAAGTTAGATCTAGACCATGTTGAACAAACAGATCCAATATTTCCAAGTTTCCATTAGAAATTGCAAATAGATATCCTTCAGAAGGTGGAATGTCCTCCAGCATCCTTTCTACAAGGTTGATATTTCCCACTTCGATCGCCTTATGGAAAACATTTAGATACAGCGATTTCGAAGTTATTCCAAATTCCAAATAGTATTCGCAAAATAGTAACAACATTTCTAATGACTGGGATTGCTGTAGGTACTGGAATAAAGATTTAAGTTGGTCTTCCGGTATAGAGTGAATAGAAACCCTCGTTTGATGTAAATGTCCTTGTTTTACAATATATTCGAAATGTTCCTGAATGGCATTGCTGTCTAGGATCATGTACTCGGAAGGGTCTTTGACTGCAAGAGCTGAATCTTGGTAAGCGCTGAAATACAGTGTTGGGATCAGTTTCAAATTATTTCTAAATGCTAATCTTACTCTATGATATTCATGTACATTCAAGTATTTTGAAATCAAAAATATTTCCACTTGTAGTAAATTCAACATGAGTTTGGAAAAGAAAAATCAAGGACAGTAGCGAAAAATTAAACGCGATTTCACTCAAATTAAAACTACTAGCGATACTTGAATACAAGGCAAAAAAGTGCTCCCTGTGAGACTCGAACTCACGACCTTAGGATTATGAGACCTACGCTCTACCAACTGAGCCAAAGGAGCTTGATTTTCCAAGAATCCTGTGGATAACGAACCAATTATTTTTTCATTTTATCTCATTAGTATCACTGGATCTATTAAAAGATCTCTAAAAGATCTGTATTAAGAGATAAATTGAACAGTAGGGTTGGGTAATATACATTCAACAATAATTGATCTTTCCATAATATCGAAATCTTAACCTTGAACAATTAAACAACGCTTATCAAAAAGTAAAAAGCATTCTCCCGGCGGGGTTCGAACCCGCGATATTCGCATATCTTTAAATATAAGTACGACGCCTTAAACCACTTAGCCACGGGAGAAACCGCTCTGCCAGAAAACCACTTGATCGTAAACATGTTACTACAACGTTAAAATAACCCACTTTTACAATACATAATCTATCAAACCAGCTTGAACTTTCTGTTGATTAGTATTCCAAGGTATACCAACACGCAATTATTTTTTTCCAACTGAAAAATGGAATCACCAGCAACACCATTGGCAAAGCCTCCAATCAAAGTAATAAAGAAAAAGTAAGCAGTTGTAATACTAGAACTGATACACCAGGGATTCCAAAACCGACTGTTCCCAAACCTCCGTCACTGCTGTCGCTTCTTCCTTCGCATCAAAAAGACTCTCTGGTGAACTTGATTTACGACGATATATCAGCGGACTGTATAATGGAAATAATATTCGATGTGAAAAAGAAGCGAAAGGCAGAACTAAGCGTTTGTAAGATTTGTAGCAAGAAATGTAAATTGTTTAAAGACTCTCCAAATGAGGATGTGTATGGACAGGATCCGAATGCAGTGCCAAGTATTTTACTTTAATATAGCGGAAAAGTATGACTGTCCACAATGCGGAAATGCCTATCCAGCTGCTCGTTATGCCCCTCACTTGGAAAAATGTCTTGGGCTTGGAGGAGCGAGAAACTCTAGATCAAGGAACGGAGTGAAAGCTTGAACTAGAAATAAAACTGTTTTATTAAGGTAAAACTTCTATAGATTTTTACAAGTATGTGATTACAAATTACTGCATCATTTGATTAAACATTGTATCATCATAGCTTTGTCTATTAAAATTCTGATTGTTGTTCCATCCTTGTTGCATACTGAAATTATGTGAAAGCGGAGATGGTTGCACCATTGATGAGCCCATCGAAACAGGGAAATTAGGAAGAGACTGAGGAGTCATTTGCGGATTCATTTGCGGCATAAAGTTGTTGTTTGAATTAACTGGTTTAAGGTCCGGCCTTGTATTCAGAGCATTGCCCAACAGACTATGAGAAGGATTGCTACCCGCAAAGGTATCTTGGGTAAGAAAGTTGTTACTAGATAGTCTGCGGAATTCAGTAGAGTGAGCATTGTCTTCCATCGGCATTGGAGACATTAGACTGCCATATGTACTTCGCTCGTCTTCATCCTCTTCTTCGCCAATGATTGAATTTCTGTCAAAAGGAGATCCAGTGCGAAAACTTCCAGCAATTTGGGGAAAGAACTTTTCGCTTGGAGCTTGTCTTGATTCAACTTCCCTTTGATGTTCCAGATTGGCTTCATATACCAAATCTAAATCGATATTGTCAGGGAACAGCACAGGACCCATGCCCATTTTGGAACGAAGCCGGTTGATTTCAAGTTTCAATTCCTCGTTCTG